TATTCGTAGTATAGTTTAGACTTAAGTCCTGGTTAATTCCCACTTTAATAATGAATTTTAGTCACAAATCCCTAGATAAACCCTAATTTGTTCTGTTTAAGGTGTCACTGACTCATACACAGTCCTGGATCTGTAATGATTTGCCATCTGGAAATAAAATAATCACAAATATGCGTCACAGGGACAAAATTGTAAAAAAAAAAAAAAAATGAAGCAAAACAATCCAAATATAAATATATAAACTGTGCTCTAGTGAAATCAGTGATGTATCTGTCATAGGCACTTTTACCAACCAATAACAACTAGCAGTATCTTCGCACAAGCTGTTATAAACTTGAGCTATGGATTGACATAAAAGGTTACTCAAACATGTGTGAATGGAACAAAAACAACTCCAGGTATGTTATTGAGGAGGTTACCACATTATAACATGCCTGGAAGCTCACAAGCGTCAATTTTGCATAATGTAGGACCTTTAATTACAAATCGCGAATAAATTAACCTATCTTAATATTAACTTTTCTCCTTCTCCCTCTCCTCCTGCCTCAGAGCCCCGTCCTGTAGCTGGAGGTCCCAGTCTGCTCACGGTGCTGCTGGGGCTGGTCTGTATGGCTGCCCTCATGCTCCCGACTCTGGGGGAGCAGGAGTCCTCGGTGCCTGTCTACCTCCACTTAAGTGTTAACAAGAAACTAGTAGCTGCTTATGTCCTTGGTGAGTCACACATTGAACTATGGATGCACTTGGATCATAAAATGCACGTTTGCTTTTTTGGGGGGGAACTGTATTTAAAGGTGCACTATGTAACTTTTCTGCTTGTCTTTATAGAGCTTTTATTGCTATCCCTGGAATGTTTCTTGTGTAGCATTAAACTTTCTTGCAATTACAGGTGTTTTTATTATTCCTAATACATCCCTTGAAAGTCATGCATTGTTACTGTGAGCGGACTTGCCTCTCCACAGTTCTGACATGTAACTGGGTCTGCAGGCAACGCCATAATTCAATTTGGATAATAAATCATTTTGTTCCAGATCTTTCAGTGAAAACTATTGCAAAATGACCAGACATTCGAGTTACTTAAAAACACATTTACAGGAACAAATTTAAGTCCGAAACACATTGTCTACAATACGTAATTATCATTTAGATTTAGAATATACATACATATACATGACATTGTACCCTCTCTGTCTTTTCATAGGTCTTCTCACTATGGTCATCCTCCGCACATGACGGAGCTGAAGGACCTGTCCTGACACCAGAGGCACAACTGACTGTGGAAAAATGCATTAAATGTACAAAACAACTTGTGTCTGGTTATAAAAAGACAGTATAATAATAATATAATGATGTATATTCCAGTATGGTGAAGCGGTCTGCTGAGCTAAAGGAGCTGTCCCCAGGGTTAAATGGGAGATTGTGATGAAAGAGGCCAAGTCAAGTCAATGGTCTCTGAAACTTGTATTTTTTATTGCCATTATGTAACAGCGAGGAGTGGGGGAGTTTCAATGCAAAATGTGTGTACAGCTAAGCCCAAAATGGTTCATAATTTATTTTATGTGTTTTAAACCGCCCTGGCTATTTTACATGATGTTTTTAAAGCAATGTACACTGTTATAGTACTGATTTTACATCTGCTGTATGCTCGTTTCCAGCAGAGGGTAGAGTATAAGATGCCCAGTCCATACTGGGTACATTGTAAATAGTTCAGTGGGAAGGTGGCTGAGTGATCAGTGCTCTCACCTCACAACAAGAAGGTTCCAGGTTTGACTCTTGGCCTTGTCTTTGCGGAGTTTGTATGTTTCTGGGTCAAATGGAATTTGACAATTTTTCCTACAAGGACAATAAAGTGTACCTTATAGTTCTAATACATAGGAGTCCAATGATTTCAAAAAGGATAAGGATAATATGGGACCTTTAATACACCTGCTCAGTTGAATATCAAACTATGAAACAAAGAGTCAATAAAAGGGAAGCAGACATGTGAAAATGCTGCCATTCTGCACCAATAGTCTCACAAGATTATACTAATTATTAACTATAATTATTACAAATGTACAGTAGGTTTTGTAGTCTATGTTTTGCACATTTTGGAGAACTATTTTTGAGGGTAGCTCTCCAGTTCTTTAATGTCAGAAGGATTCCTTAGCTCATCTGTGCTCTGAACTGACTCTGGTTTGTTCTCAGTTCTTGGATTTGATTTGGTCTTTGGTTTGGACTCTTGTTTGATCCACAGTCTAGTTTCTGGCCTGGTTCTTCTTCTGGTGCCTGGTCTGGTCTTTAGTCTAGTCTCTCTCTTCTCTGGACCCTGATCTTGACTTTGGTCTTGACTTTGGTCTGTTCTATCATCTGGATATGTGGCACTATCCTCGTCTCTGGAGTATTATTTGGACTCTGATCTGGTCCCTGGTCTGGTCCCTTGTGTAGTACCTGGTCTTAACTCCAGTCTAGTCTCTGGTCTAGTCTCTGGTCCAGTCTCTAGTCTAGTCTTTTTTCCCATCTTTAGGTTATGTTTACATTTGGGCTTAGTTGTACATAAACTTTTACATGTTTGTTCTTGACTAAGTGCAGAGTTTGCATGTGTGAATCTGAATGAGTTTGTCTGTTTTATTTTTTTGTTTCTGTTTGAATTTTCACCAAAGTCTTTCTTTTCTCGAGACAACTGTCTGTATGCCATATCCACCTTTCATCAAATGTTGAATAAAGTCTCAAAGTTTGCCAAAGTTTGTGAATTGCATAACTTTTGTGGTGGGGGGAAGGCACATCACCTGCTTGTCTCCATGGAGATGTTAAGTCCAACAATATGGCTATTGTACATTTCATGAGAGACATTTGTATTGCTCAAAATTGCCTTGAACATCTCTCCACAGATCTGAACTGTACTTGGCCTGTTTGTTTCTATGGCGTTGGGTATGCTGAATGCCATGCTGTGGAACATTCAAGGCAACGCAATCACAGTGCGCTTTTATAGATATATGGTGATATATGTGGTATGGAGGAAGGAGAATGACTGTATGGTAAAGAAGAGGGAACAGAAGAGTAACAGTGAATATTTTGTGGAAGAAGGAGAAGGAATATATGGTACAGATGAGAGGCGGTAAATATAAGGTACAGAGGAGGGAGGGTGAATATCTTAGGATGATTTAGTGCATGGCAAGTTTACTAAATATAATCTCTTACTCCCATGGGCTGCTGTTACACAATCAAAACATTCCCACAACCTGTTGCAATCTGGATCTTATTTAGAGTGTACGAGAGTAAACAACGATGCTTTGTAAATGTAAAATACTTGAGTCAGCAGCAAACCCATAATTATAAAGACATATGGTTTAAGAGAGATTTGTGTGAGTGTTGAAGCAAATCTGTTTAAATCCTATTCATTTACAGTATTTGCCAAGAAAAACACTGCAACTTTTCACACCAAGTACCACCTCAGAAGGTATACAGTACGTCTAAGGGTTTTACAACAAAGATCGGATATCGGTTAAGTAAGGTATGAAAACGGTAAAATAACAAATCGGAATCAAACCAGGACTTTTCCAGGACAATACCAGGTCAGAGTAGAGAACACGTCAGAATTTGAATTGCTTTAAGTGGATTTTATCAATAATTAACATATATAGCTAGTTGTGAGTTTGCACTTTTCAGTTTTAGAGAAGCAAGAACATTAATTTAAGGATTAATAAATGACATTTGAAATAATACCAATAGGTTGGGTGTAAAGGTTGGGCACATTGTGTAATTTTTCTGGTGGAGGGTACATCAAATGGTTTTCTCCATGGAGATGACAGTATTGCTTTGTTTGGCATGTTTCACAATATGATATTAAAGCTTTCAATCTTCATGGAGACCAAACCAGACCAAGTTACAGGTCAGATCTGCAGCGAGGCGACCCCGCTCACACTAAGAATGCACTTTTCAAGCTATAAAATCACCTATAATTCACTACATGTAAAGTAGAGCTGTTTAATGTCAAATTGTGGAACAGTCCAGGCAGAGCAACGATATATCCATAGAAATAAGCAGGTGATGGACCTCCAACCAAAAGTGTACCTTTAAGTGGCACAATTGTATAAACTGCCCAGTTTTACATTGAGGACAGAATGCAGATTTATTTATTTATTGACCTGTTTTATGGTGAATATCTTTATAACTACTGGGCCTGTCCACATGTAACAAAATCTCTCACTAATTTCTTTTCTGCCAGCACAAATGCATCTCCGTGTGTTTTTTTTTTTTATAGCATAAAGGGACACAAACACACAAAGACAAACAAAAGCATTTTTGAATATATTAAGGTTCAGCATTTGTGGATTTTCAGTTATAATACTTCAAAAATCTTCCATAGACTATGAAATCATATCATCATATTCTAAAGTTGTGAATACAGCTTGTTAAATGATAAATCCAGTAGCATTAAAGGTGCATTATGTAACTTTTCTGGTGAAGTATTCACCATCTGCTTGTCTCCATAGAATGTTTTGTTGGAGTATGTGATGTGCATGTAATGTCATACTGTGGAACAAAGCAATAACATCTCCATGGAGACAAGCAGGTGGCAGACATCCCACCAGAAATGTTAGTATTGATTGGAAACACAGGAGGAAGAAGAATTTCCACACATAAACGAGAACAAAATTATGCAAACGCCACTTTACTGATAAATGTCATTTTCACTTCTTCTTATTCTTAACATCAACAAGTCAAATGACCAACCATTTTAATTTATCCTTTCAGTCTCATTTGCAGCACGTTATTCAGGGTTATAGGAAGTTGAACCACAGTTTACAGCCATTTCTGTATCTAACATTTTGTATTCAACACAATAAAACACTAAGGAGACATCCATAGTAGTAGTAGTAGCAGTAATAGTAGCAGTAGACTTTTGCCCACTTTCACCACACAAACATAAAACTAACTTTATATATTCTATGTACAAAATTACAAACATAGCATCAAAACAATAAGTTAAATCTTTTCTTACAAATGTCAAAAGGAAACAAAAAAAAAGCAAAAATTTACATTAATAGTCCTTTTTCAAATTGTCCAGTGCTTGTATTCTCAGTCTCCTTTTTCCGTTTAGTTTGAAATATCCAAACTTGCACCGTCAAAGCATCTCCTAATAGCAGCAGGTGCACACAGTGTGTTGTCCAAGCAAAATTTGAACAATGAGATCCACAAAGGCATTTCAAGACCCTCTGAGAAGCAAGATCTATGTCCCCAAATCTACAAAGCCAGTCAGACGTTTGGACACACTTTCTCATTCAATGTTTTTCCTGTATAAATAAGTGGACTAACGGAGTGTAATGTCACTCATAGCGTTCGGCTCCTGTCAAATGAAGCTCACTGAGGCTGGCAGTCACGGGAGTTATGGAGCAGGGATCCGTATTAGGGATAGGAATTTACTTACAAACAAAATAGTAAAATAAAAACCACCAGGATCATGTAGAGCGGGTTAATACAAACATTTTAAGACAAAGTTATGGAGAGGGAGATGACGTTTTTTTTCCAGTACAACGTGAATAGGACCCAAAGCTGATGGAGCAGGAAAAGTGCCTCTGTTCGCTTCCCATTTGAAACGTGGTGGCTAGCTACATCCATTTATATATACAGTTTATGGTATACATAATGAAGACATCAAATATATGAAGCAAGGCGCATGGAATTTTGTGGAAAAGGAAAAAAAAAGTTAAAATAACTGTTAATAATAATGTTATTTATATTTAAAGGGACTGTACTCTATTTTTTTGCATGTATTAATAGAAAAATTTGCCTTGCTTTTGATGTCAAAATAAGTCCACTGTACACCGTCTGCTTCTAAGTAGAAAGTGTTTCATGGTGTCCAATAATCAGAAAGTGCAGCTCTGCAGAATAATTAGAATGTTTAGAATGCATAAGGGCCACTGTAAACCGTTCAAAATGAACACGTTTTTTTTTCACATTTTTAAGATTGTGAAAATCAGATACAGAGCCTATAAGTTTGTGATTTCTCAAAGTAGCCAATCTTTGCTTTGCCAACAGCGCTGCAAACCCTACACCCTCTCTCAATGAGCTTCATGATAAAGTCCCTGAAATGGTTTTCACTTCGCAGCTCTGCCTTTTCAGGGTTCATTAGTGGAATGCTAAGAGTGTACAAAGCAATAGTCAAAGCAAAGTGTGGCCATTCTGAAGAATCTAAAATCTAGTTAGCAAATTATTTCACACTTTTTGTAAACAACCTAACCTTTTTCATACTTTGTCAGTTACACTACATTGTAAATAGTCATGAAAAATAAAGAAAAAGCACTGAATAAAAAATGTATCCAAACTTTTGGCTGTCAGTGTAATTGAAACCCTCAAGTCCAATACAGAGAAATGGATGAGTGGAGCAGAGGAGCAGTCTCTTTTATGGGTTATTGTCTGTGGGGCTCATTTGGGGGACAGGTCTTGGAGGGAGGTGAAGGGTGAGTTGCTCGAGGATGAGGGGGAGACTCCTTCCATTTTGCCCGGGGAGTCTGTGGAGGAGCTTACACTGCTCAGACTGCCGTCCAATAGATCCGGAGAGTGACTGAAGAGAGACAAGAGAGAGACAAGAAAGCAGTCAAAATGGAAAATCTGGTAACCCTTTTCTGATGAAACTAATGCTGATGAAACTAAGGCTGCAAGATTAATCAAAGTCAAATTTATGCCTCAATTAGAAAGAACACTTCATATCAATTCATTTTCTACTAAATTCTTATAATAGTTTAGCAGCTTCTTTCAAGTAACAATGCCGCAGGGTTTATTTAAAATGTGTATTCTACATTAAAACATAAATCGCAATCACAATGCTTGTTAGAATTTCTTTTTTCCCCAACATCGTTTAGCCCTAGGTGAAACATTCTTTGATTAAACAAATATGTTGCTTCATTTCCTATTTCACGAGGTTTAAAATGCCGAGAGTAAATTACATGCCTTAGCTTGTTAGACAATCTTTTCTTTTAATGACAATTTTAGTAACTGAACCATTACATTAATATAATTTGTAATGTGTCTTGACAAAATTTACTGTATAATAGATAAGGCATTTTGACAGTACTTTTGCCATCTCCCCCCAAACTTTTTAAATCAGTTAACTTTTGTAACCAAGCCAAGTTTTGTAACAACTTCTACAGCAAAACACGTCATTACAAAACAATTCTAATTTCAGCAATGCCCTCGCTTGGTCATCCAAAACCATATAATGTTCTGAAACCTTGTCTTATCTCCCAGAGGTCCAATGGGCAAGACTGACAGCCAAATCAACCAATCAGAAATACATCGTTTGTCCATGTATTTTTCTGTTAATTGAGGTGAAAAAAGTTAGAAATTTAGTTTCAAAATTTGTTGGTATGTAGCAGAAGACCTTCTAGAGAAAATATTTTGAGGGAATGAACCATTTGTCTCCAGTGTAACCTCCTGTTACACTGCGCTTCTCAGGGGCCGTCCACATGACATTTTTTGGTCAAAACGGAGAAGTTTGTATTTGTTTTGGCCTTTCGTCCACATGGAGCCGGCGTTTTGAGTGGGCGAAGTCAAAGGTCTCAGTGCAGTGTAAATGTGGCAGCACCTAAACTTGACTTGACAAAACTTTTTTCCATGTAAATTTGTAGTTTCCTCTCATTGTAATCCTCTGCCACTACCCCCCAAGTTAAAACAGTTAATTGATTCAACACTTCACTTTGGCAGATCTCTCCTGTCAACAAGCCTCAAGCTGCTCCTTTGTGTTAACTGGATGTTTGTTTACACAGTCTGAGATGAAGAGGCTATAGAGAGATGCAAGGGGGGGCCTACCAGGAGCTGAGGTCGGACAGGTTGGACACGTCGGAGGAGAGCATCGTGGTCGTGCCCTGGAACAGTCTCTTGGGTTGGCTCTCAGTCTCCATTTCACCTGAACAAAGATTCAATTATGAACCATTAAAACTAAGTTACAAATAGGGTAATTAAAAGGATCAAAAATCAGGTACCAATTGATACTAAACCTGTTATTGAAACTAGATTCTCATTTGAACAAGTATCGATATTAAAAAAGTCACATTTACAGGACAGAAATGAACCTTTCCTGAATAGTTTTGGAATGATCTTGAGATGTATCAGAACAAGTATAAGAGCACATAGAGTAGTATTAAAAAAAGGTGCACTGTGTAACTTCTGTGTTTTTAATGCTGAAAATTACAAAAATTACAAAATTCTATTGTCTAAATAAATAGCATGATATCAGACTTGGTAGTAAGTATCAATTCTATCCCTTAGTATTGAAATGGAGTTTGATTTTATCGTGACAACACTTGTAACAAAATTTGTGAATCTCGAAATTGGTAATAAGCAAGGTCACATAAAAGTACTAGTATTTTTGTGATACTGAAATGAACCCTACCTTTGCGTTTAATTGGCCCCAGTATGCTCTGTCTGATGCAGTTTATTGGGCTTTGACTTCTTCGACTGAAAAACAAGAAAAACAGAAACTTGATTCAAAATATGTTTTTCATTTGTAATCAAAAACACATGCCATGCCCATGAGCGGTGACTAGAACAAAATTACCACTATTCAGAGGTTGAAGCTTCCCGTTTTTAAGTGATATTTTGAGGATTTTTGCTGATTCAAAAGACAGCTAATTTTGGAAAAGCAATTTCAAAGGCAACAGGTCTAGATGTTCCCTGAAAACCATGGATAGCAGAATTTTGACAGGAAAAAAAGATGTAAATAAATCTTCTGTCTAAAAACTGGGAAATGTTTATATAACCTCATAGCAGTTGTCCTCTAATAATCATTAGCTACAGATGAATTATTGTCAAAAATGTAAATATTGATACTTTGCAATGACATCAGGCTGGGGGTGTCCTACATGTATCTGTATGGTGGAATGTTTCCATGGTGACGGTTAAAGGTTAAAAAAGCATTGTACCCCACGTTACTGACTTTGTAACGAGTAAAATATTACAACTTTTTCCCTGTCATGCCTTAAATTACGGCGTTACAGCAAAAAGCAACGCATTACAGTAATTTGTTACTTTTATAACTCGTTACTCCCAAAACTGGGTGACACCCACATTAGCAAAGAGCCTGTGATCAACACGAGCGTTCATGGTCCTGTTTGGGTGTTTGATTTTCAACAATAATGTGAGAGCAACTAACTGATAAACTGATTATCTAACTGTTGCTAACTGTAGGCACTTCTCTGTCAGAGACTATGCATGTTCCTCTCACGTAAGACTACAGTCACCAGCTAGCAATAATCTCACCTGATGTAGTTCCAACTAAATCAGTTCTTTCTGGTCGGGTTCTGTTAAAATGAAGCTCAGTTTAAAGTCTAACGTAGCCTCAGACAGAGCAGTGCCTACAGGTAGCATCACATCCACAGGGAATGTTGATGACATCAGTGGTAAAGTATTAAGACAATGTTTCCAATGTCTTCAGGTCATTAGACAAGCATTATTATTATTACTATTATTATTATTTGATGCGTCTGTAATACAAGCCCATTATAAGTTTCCATTATGTTAGAACAGTGAGGCATAATCTAACCATTTTTTTTTACCTGAATCTTCTGGTGGGACTGGGGATGGGGCTCGGCGTCAGACCATTGCTGCTCACCAGGATTTGTAGTGAAGGAGAAAAACACTGCTGCTCAGAGAGAAAGGAGAGATATTATTAGCAAAACAAAACCAAGCAAAATGCAATACGTGATAATGATAATTAATCTCTCCATTTTTGTTTTTGCCCACAGTAACAATATTCGGACAGCATTTTAATGGGCCCATATTAAGCATTTCTGAGCCGTTGTAATGTTGTTTCCTCTTCACAAACATACTTTTGTTTCATTCACATTTCGCGTTTCATGTTTAACACACAAACTCTGCATTAGGCTGTGCTCTTCTCTCAGACAGGAAACACTCTGTTATACCTTGTGATGTCATGTGTTTTTCATGTCCAAATACCTTCACTAGAATCATTTGGATAATTTCAGTCCTGGAATTGGTGAATGTGCTAAACAAAAATTATAAGGTAGCTTTTAACTCGAAAACTACCACTACGTGACATCACAAGGTGGAACAAAGCATTTTGATCACTCAAACATGCATGAATGAAATAAAACATCACTCCGGGTATGTTTATGATGAGGTAACAGCATTAGAACATGGTTTAAAACTAAAAAAAAAAGAAAGAGAAAAAGAAATTATAGATGATAATCTCAATATTATAATTTTGTATATCTCTAAAACCAAATCTAATAAATGGAGCATTCATGCTTGTGCAACGTCAAAATACTCTAAAATGGGACTAAAGGTGGAACTAAACCTAGATTAAAACTGTGACCATGAAGGGGAAAAAACAGGGCTCAAATCAGGAATTGCATATACTATATACAACTATAAGCAGAACCAAGTAGAGATCGTAAAACAGGTTTAAAATAGGACCAAAACCAGGGTTAATGTCTAACCAGGAATAGACTAGGACTAAACTCAGACTAAACCAAGATTAATTTAAGTCTGAACAGTACCAAACCAGGACTAAGCTCTAAACATGACTACACCAACCACCTCCTCCCATTCACATTCCATATTATAGCAATTAGTTTTTGTGGACGTCTCCTCTTCCTTTTTAAATCAAATTGCATACTTTTACAATTAGCTGCTTTATCCAATCAGTCTCATCCAGTGCGTGTAACTCCAGAGAACAAACGCACCTTTTTTCCGATGCCTCGCGTGGGGGAAGGAGCTGGAGAAACGGGAACAAAGTCGATCCTTTTGGGAGAAGATGAGGCAGACTTCTCCAAATCATTGTCGCTCTGGAAACAAGAAAAATACATGCAGTTTTTGGTATAAATAAGTAGGACACATGATGCTGGTTTTTAGTCTCTGCTTTAGGTCCCCAGTTAAAGTTAGATACACACTCTTGTTTCTAGTTTATTCCTCAGTCTAAACCCCAAATAAAGAGGGTTATGTGGTGCGTTCCAAGCCACTCGTAACTGGCATCATTAATTCCACCTTCGATTTGCCCTGGAACACTTCTCAAACTGGGCATTCCTACTTGTGAAATGGGAGATGATCGAACACAGACATAAACCATGTAATATAGCAATGATAATGACCACAAAAAGTGAATCTAAGGTTAACCACCAAACAAATTATGTACACTTTTGATACAGCTTGAATCCACCAATATTCATGTATTTAACATATAAGAGTTTATTTTAGTATTAGCCATATTGTTTACATGTGAGTAAATTCGACTTGAATACTTTGAATCATAATATTGACGTTGCCTTGGACACAGGCGTAAGTGTAGGAGTATTATACTACCGCCTCAGCCTGTACTTTGAGACTGGTGACCCTGATAACTCCTTTGTATTGTTTACATTTTACTGTAGCGTGTCTTCAGGTGTCTACTCCCACAGAGAAGAGGACACACACACACTCTGAGCCCAGACGTGCACATGGACATTCAGTCAAGGTCATGGCAGTGGAAAAAAGAAAATGTTGATTTACCAAACTGAGGCTTTCTTCCCAGGACTGGCTCATTTGCATTGCAGCTTGAACTTCACTGTTAAAAAGGAAAGAACAAGAGACAGCATTGTATTATAAATAAAGTGATTAAAAGATATTTCAGTTTCAGTTTATCCACCAGGCCTGCAAGATTTACATTTGCAGAAAACAAAATATCCGGTATCCATTGTCTTATGTAGAAACATTCTGTAATTTAGACCTCTAGTACTCAAACTTGTATGTTTTTGTTTTCATCTAAAATGTCATAAAAGTTGACTGAAAAAAAATACTGTGCTGCTGTTACAACTCACCGTTCATGAGCCGTTTCTCTGTTCATCACATCCACCCCTTCCTCCTAAAGACAGACAAATAATAGTTTACATATATACATTTAAAACAATACAAAATACATTATCAAGTTTACTGTAGAAGGTGCAGTTTTAAATTTTACAGTTATATAGCTATCTGATAACTGAAGATGTTATTGCTTTCCCTGGAATGTTTCACAGTATGGCATTAAACTTATCTATCTCCATGGAGACAAGCAGGCGACCAGGTCAAGTTACACTTCAGACCTGGGGAGATGCGAGTCCCCTTGCAATAAGAGTCCATGTTTTTAAAGCCATTTCCTTTATGTTAAAAACACAAGTTAAAAAGTGCATGACAGCTGAGTTTAATGCCATATTGTAAAACAGTACATCCCCATGGAGACTCGACCAGAGAAGTCACATAGTGCATAGTAAATTAGATCTCCAAGAACTGAACTTGATAAATCTGAATTATTTAATTTTTTTCTGTAGCAGGTATTGGAGTCTGATACTACCAATTGGTCATTCCTAGTTGACCAATGGCCCTGTGAACTCCAGAGACTGTTGCTGTTGCATGTTTTTGAGACACTGTTCTTCTCCATGGCTGTAGGGGGAGACAGCGGTCTGACATGCTCCTTTTAAACGCTCATAAATACCTCTGAACATGAGTGAATTGTACCTGTTTAATTTGGTGAAGTCTGGTACTGGGCACTCGGATGGGAGACGACGGGACCTGAGCAGAGTTTAAAAATATGCATTAACATCAAGGGAAACTATTTGAATTAAAGTTCATCATTACAAAGTGTTACAAAGCGCTTCACATTACCCTTTTATTCAATGTGCGTACCTAGCTCATTAAGATGTAGCATCAAACTAATCCTAACCCTCAAGACTAGAGCAGTGCAATATATTAAATCAACACGAAATTGCTATTTGAGTTTACACAAAATCACAAAGGCTGCAATTATTTAGGTAAAAGTAGGTTCTCTGCAAAAAAAAGCAATTATTCTGTCTTTTTATAGAAAGATTTTAATCTATCTCAACTAGACCTCAACAAACATTTTCTGAAATTCATCTGCATGGGATTGTTGTCTTCATTTATCAGTTTATTTTTCCGTCTTCTCGCAAATGTTAATGCTTCTGAAGTTGTTTAGAATGTGAAACAGAACCCTACTTTTTAAACATATAATCACACATCACAAATCATTGTCAGATAGATTTTGAAAAAAAAAAAAAAATGCAATTGTTCTAAGCCCAACCTTATGATCATGTTATTACATAGACAGGCACGTTAAAAACTGTAGTAAAGAAATGTCACTGACTTTTTTTCTTAACTGCCTGGTGTGTTTACAACATGTACATTGTGCATGTTTATTAAAGGGCCCATATTACACTATTTTCAAATTTATGTTATAATGTTTATTCATCACAAACATACCTGGAGTTGTGTTTTGTTTCATTCACAAATGTTTAAAACACAAATCCTGCATTTTTGAGTTCTGAGTTGTTTTTAAACTCCATACACCTTCTCTAAAATCATCTGGATATTTTCAGCCCTGGAACTGTCAATCTCTTCTGAACTAAAGGTCATGTAGTGGTAGTTTTTAAGTTAACAGCTCCATTTTACATTACAAGGTGGAACAAAGACTAATAATGCAGGATTACTCAAACATGTATGAAGGAAACAAAATGCAACTGTAGATATGGTTTCGATGAGGTAACAACATTCTAACATGGCTTAAAGCTCACAAGACAATTTTTCGCAATATAAAACCTTTAGCATGCACTCCCACCCATTCCCCACCCATCAGCACCACCCACTTTGACCTAAACTAATGTAGGAGTTTTATACTACCGACTCAGCCTGTACTTGAAGACTGGTGGCCCTGATAACTCCTTTCAAAGTTTTAATCTAGCATGTTTTAAGAGTCTACTCCCACAGAGAAGAGGAGAGGACATGAGAGGCCCAAAGCCAAAACATGCAGACATATTTATAGCTTCCCTTTTGATTTGAAAGTAAATATAATAGTACCATGTTGGGCCTGTTGACGATTGTGGTGCTGTTTCTTCGGCTTCGTAGCACCTCTCTCTGGAAAACCTGGGAGTTATCACTGCAATGATAGGAATAGTATGATACTAGACAATGTGAACTAAGACTTTCACTGTTGTTTGGTCAAAGTGTCATTTTCATTAACATCACACTGGGGGTGTTCTACATGCATCTCTATGGTGGAATGTTCAGACCAACCAAACACAATGCACACATCAGCAAAAAATACAAAATGGATTTAAACTACACATTTTTAGGAGCCTATGATCAATATGAGTGTTCATGATCCTGTTTAGGTGATTTTCAACATGAAGATGAGAGTGACTAACTGAAAAACTGTTGGCTAATGCTAGCTAGCTTATGACTGTAATGTGATCTGTGAGAGACTTGTTCAACTGCACAAATCATCTCACCTGTTGTAGCTTCAACTAAACCAGCTCTTTCTGCTCAGAATGTGTTAAAATAAAACTCACATTAAAATCGAACAGAGCTTCTGACAGAGCTGTGGGCACAGTCAGCATCACACCCCCAGGTATGTCATCAGACACAAAATGTCAATCACTGTCAGTAGGCTTAGAGAGGAATCATACTCAAATCAACATTTGGCATCCTCAGGTAAACATTGCAATAGTGCATTGAAAGGACTGACACTAGCCAGGTATGATGGGAAAGCTGTGATATATACAAAAAAACTGAACTGAAATTACATCTTGTTTATGTATCCTTAGGCAATACAACAAATGAAACGTGTCACAAATGCAAAAAGGTCACATAGAAATTTCAAATATTTGACAACAGCTGATCATTATCTGGATCAAATGAAGATTGGTTTAAAAAGCAGTTGTTTACAGTCCCTACAGAATGAATTAATAATATTTTCATAACAAAGTTTAGGGGTTACATAGGTTTAAAGCAACGGCAATCAGTTATTAAAGGTGCACTATGTAACTTTTTGAGTAGAGGATCTATTGCCTACGTGTGTCCATGGAGCTATTGTGCTTTGCCTAGAATGTTCCACAATAAGGCATTGCGCTTGTCAACCCTGCATTTATGTCACGTACAGATATTTTATTGCTCAAAAATACCTTCAAAACCCATGTACCATGCAAACACTGATATCACCTGTAACTTGGCCTGATGAAATTCAGATTAAGAAGTTTAATTCAATATTGTGAAACATTCCAGCAAAAACATCTCCATGGATACAAGCAGGTAACAGACCTTCCACCAGAAAAGTTACACAGTGCACCGTTAAACAAAGCCATAGAAACCAGTGCTTATTTATCACGCTTCATTGATTACTGGAGGGAAAACAATATAGAAAGTTCTTCGTGGCCATGAAGTTGCTTTAGGTACAATGCACACACGGTAACTTTACACCTATTTGATTTACAATGCAAACCACACTATTGGTCTGGCTATGGGCTTTGTCACCAGTACTGTCAGCTCCCTATTCACGAACAACAAAATCCAACATAGATCAAAGGTTACATCCTCAAAGTTAAATATAGTTATGTGTCAAGTAAACAACCTTAGTCCGTTTATCATAGGAGCGCTGTTGGATCTCCTCAGGTGTCCGTCGTTCTGCACCAGTGCGGATGGGATTTCTAGATCGAGCTCCATCTTTTCTTGTTGCATCAGAGAATTGTTCATTTTGTGACCGTGTCCTCCACCACTTTACACTCAAAACGCTCAACTGGCTCCGTGCGGTTACATTGTTCTTACAAAATAAACAGTTTTTTCTACTTTGGATGCTTTAAATGCACATTATGGTACGTGTGCTAAGCCAAATCAACAGCTATCGCAACCCCACAGGCAGAGAGGCCCTTGCTTTTGCACAATCCTAACTTTTTTTTACAGCATAACAACGATAAAATTGGAGGTTTGCATGTTATACACAAATAAACGACTATATTAAGATGGTAAAAGCATTGCCAACAACATTAGAAGAGTGTTTTTAACTTTAGTTTAGTCGTTTAGCCTGCTACACAACGCACAATGCCTGGCAAACGTGAGCTACCTCCCCGTGAGTAACTCGGACCCATCCACAGCCAGCCACTGCACTTTAGCGCCTTATTTCTGCAAAGCTTTGTGCCAATTTAGTCTGGATACAAAATGAACATCCGTCTCAAATTAAAAGTAGATGATGTTAAACTTTACTACGCCGGAGTTGCAATCACCATTACGCGAGTTAACCCACTTGCTAACACAACACAGCTGCTAAACGAAGCTACTGAGCATAACATAAGCTCCGCACTAGCAGTTCCAGCAAGAGCTAATGTAAGCTATGTTAGCATTGATGCCTCTGGCCTGTTTCGCGGTCTTCTGCATTATCCATCGCACAGTTTGCATCTCACGTCTCCAGGTAGAGGCCAAAATCCCGTATACTGAAAATTATATGCTGCAGACTTGTCTTTTCGCTTCTATATTGCCCCGCGGAAAATGAACAGAACTGTCACTACCCAATCTGCGTCGCTAACGTGAATGTATTATAACTCCCTGGATGCTGCCCGATTTGCGGCGCAAAAAAAAGTACTCTGCGCATGCGTGAGCCGGTACGCCATTTTATGTACAGTAACCGATTTAGGACAAAAATGTGGAACTATAAATCGATCAAGTTAACATTTGCAGTAAATTACGATAAAATTGTGCAGTTGAGTCATTATCGCCATGAACCCTTGTGTTCCTGTTATTAAATCATTTATAGCATAACCATTGCTAAATAAATGGCATCCTTAACATAAATGGGTCGATTTTCCCTTATTATTTATACCCATCCAAAAATCGATTTTTACATTCGCATGACCCAGTTTTGTTACAGTGACACACTATTTCAAATGGTTACAAGTAGTTATATAGTAATAGCAATGTCTTACCCCGTCTTACCTGTCCTGATAGTGTCCAGATAATCAGGGATACTTAGCAGTTAGCAGCAAACTTCACGCCCCCTGAGTGTTAACTGACCTGTCCAATGAAAGAGCTCGGTTTGACGGTGTGTGGTCGCTGCTCTGCCTCCCGTGGCTCTCGGATAAACCTCTGGGCCCCTAGATCTTCTTCTCCATGACCTAAGCTACCTTCTTAGTGCAGCTAGACACATGTACTAACCGTGTGCACGCAGGGTTTCTGCATTCACAGGAGCATGCAAGTGTAATTTTAAAATTAACCAATGTATGATGCATGTAGGCCCCAACATGTAGCATATTTATAACTAGGCTCATAAGCCATTTTGAAATAGCTATACCCAAAACAATACAGAGGATTTTCAGACTCACAGAAGCAGTTGCCACAAATATAAACAAAGCAATAGACCAAATTGGTCCAATTATCAATCAGGGAATAGGTTTAGTTTTCAGATCAAACACCTAAACAGAGGTTTTAGTAAGGCCTTATTGTAGGTCATGTATTTTTTACTTTAGTAGGAACATACTCATTTATAATGTGGGCCTGTAAAGACGCTAATTTGTTGTACATACCTTTTTTAACACTTCAAACCTTTCAGTCATTTACATTAGGAAATTCATATATAAAACAGATACACACTTCAATATGCCACAAATTGAGCATAAAATGTTAACTTTACCTTGGACTGTGTATGTGTTTCTACATCTAACCAAACAGTAGCCTAAGCCTCTGTTGTGTTTTGTTAAATACATTACCACAGAGTAATAATCAAGGATTTCATGTGTGAATAAAATAAGACACAACTCCTGGTATGTTTTTGATGAAGTAACAACATTCTAACATGTCTTAAAGCTCACAAGAATGCATTTTGATTAATATAGGACCTTTAAATAAGGCTTTGCTGTTTATATGAGCATAATTAAATGTGGTAGTAAATTAACAGTAATATAAAACTAAAATGAAAACAGAATGGTGTATAGATTTAATGTTTGGTTTCACGTAATATTTCAACAGTGACAGTGTACAGCAGTGGAACCCTTGTCTTAAATGAGAATATCTGACCAGCAACATTTGAAAAGCAGCAAAACTATAATAAAGTTTAATATACATGTGAACTTGTATTGTAATGAATGTATAACACAAAATAGTCTTTTATGAGGGACAGCACCAAAGATTTGTCTCACTTTTACAACTTAGCATGAAAAAAATTAATTAATTACACAATATGTAAAGGTTCTTAGTCACAAAATATACATAAAGAGTACCCTGCTTTTTGATGGATACAAACGAATAATTAACAATAAAATCAATATTAAAAGTCTTTTGATATGCTTCTATAAAGGTGCACTGTGTAACTTTTCAGGTGGAATGTCTGCCATCTGCTTGTCTCCATAGAGATGTTGTTGCTTAGTCAGGAATGTCCCGATATGGCAATTAACGTATTCACCTCGCATTTACTCAATAACATGGGTTTTTATTGACTTAAAATGTGAGTGGGCTGGCCTCTCCACAGATCTGACATGTAACTTGGCCCTATGGCGTCATCTGCTATTTCTGTAGAGATAAATAAATGTAATGCCATACTGTGGAACATTCCAGGCAATATATCGATGGAGAGAAGCAGGTGACGGAGACCCTCCACCAGAAAAGTTACACAGTGCACCTTTAACATAGCAGCTTTAAGCTTAATAAATTATCAAATTATTAGAAATCATTATGTTGGGGCGATAAAAGCATTGTTAAATCCAGGGCCAAGATGATGTCTCATGCATTTAAACCTTTCCGTGATGGTGCCAGAGCTAAACAGTTGTGTCTAAATCTTAGTGGATAAAAAAACAATTAAAGGTGTATTAACGGAAAAGTACAGTCATAAAATAAAATAGCTGCAAAAGAAAATATTGTAAAACTGGTGTGGTCTTCTATGCCTTATACTTCTCCTTCCCCGTATCACTAATTACACAGATATGCTGAAAAAGAGAAGAAAAGCAGTGCATTAAAAGTTGAAATGACAAAAATACATGTGTTAATGCATTTTAGGAAGGTGGACTGCTGTGAGACTGATTTTATATTTGTAAAAGTCAAAACTATGAATAATGTACATGTAAAAAAAATAAATACATCAGGAATCTAGTAAAAGGTGATAAAACTGAACAGTGGTGGAAGTACTCAATACTGTTACTCAAGTAAAAGTACAGATACCAGTAGTTTTCTTCATGTGATACCTTTACTTTAATATGAATGTGTTAAAAATAAACACGCAGCCTTTTCAGCAGGGCTCGCACAATAAAAATGCTTTTAGTTTTCAGTCCTGTTTATAGCGGAGTAGAAAGTACAGATACCTTCTCTCAAATAAAGTGAAGTAAGAAAAAAGAATCCACTTTAAAATGTGCTTAAGTAAAGTACAGATACCTAAAATTTGTACTCATGTAGAGTATTTAACTACTTTTACTTTGCTACATTCCACCACTGGACTTAAACAATTACATTTTTATATTAGTTTTTACAACTGAGGTTAACTATACATTTACATTTATACCAAAATCATCAAAATAAGGGCACAAATAGGACTCCTTAAATTCAACCAAGTTACCACAATTTTACTACAACAGAGAGTGCAGTATGGTCTTAATCTTCTCCATCTTGCATTTAGTCAATTACAAGGGGATAATTGCTTATTTTCAAAAACCTGCACTCATAACGTGAGCAGGAGCACTTCAAAGATTTGACGTGCAATTGGGCTGGTGGCATATCCATTGGAGTTCAATGCCATACCGTGGAACATTCTATGCAAAGCAATAACATCTTCATCGAGACTAAGACCAAAAACTTACATAGTGCATCTTTAACCCAGCAAGTGTCGAGCTGTTTACTTACATTTAAATCTCTAAAGTACTCGTTGTAGTCAAGTGCATATCCCACCACAAATTTGTCTGGGACTTCAAATCCAACATCTGTAAAAACAAAACAGAACAAAATATATATATATATAAAAAATGAAGGTTCTGTCAATTCTTTGTTAAATGCATGTTTAACTGTTCTGAACTCACAGTCGGGTCTGTAGCCAACACTTCTCGGCGTCCTCTTTACTAACAAACTACACAGAGGGAACAGATTCATGAAAACAATGGGGTTATAATGGGGCTGATCTATATCACAACTAGTGTAAGATAAATTTTTAAAAAAAGCTTTTTGTCATTGTGGTATCATAAATGAGAAAATAAAAGTTGTTTTAAAATAAATAGTCCATCATTATTAGTAGTCTTACCTTGCTACTTTAACCATTTTAGGATTGTACTGTTTAAGAAGCTGAAGTAACGTCTTCATTGTCTTTCCTGTGTCAATGATATCCTACAAAAACAATACATCAAGCTCAAACCCAAGTTTTATCAAGAACTTCAAAATGATACTAAAAACAAACTTACCTCTACAATCAAAACATTCTGTGTGAGAAAAGAAACACAATGTTATTAATAATGAGCACATTTTATTTATAGTGTAAAAGGGACAGTTATGTTTTATAATGTAACTGAGTAGCACCAGACAATATGAAGACATATGATTGTACAATGAAACGTTAAAAGAATGTAACTATGGACAACTGCCAGCGACATTTCAGTCCTTTCAATACAGCTCCCTGGCAGTCAGGTGGGATGAAGAAACACAGAGTTTTAGAACAAGCAATCATTTACCAATAGATTCTTAAATATGAAAGAAAATCGTACTTTTCCAGTCAACGTTGAAAGATCATCTCCACCGATTACTTTTATTTCACCTGTTGACTGGTCATTCTGCAAGAACAAAAACATTCTTAGGACACCACATTTCTATTACAAATCACAGATAAAGGGGTGAGCTACATTCAACATGGAGTCAATGAATCACAAAACGATTGGTTTGAGTTCTACACATCGTCAACATGAGATCTCTCTCATTGAAAGTGATCAGGGAAAGTGATCAATTCAAGCTGATTGGGCAAAGTGTCACAACAGTGGAGCATACTGAGAAATGAAACCTTTGTTAAATCCAACTGAGAGAAAAGCACAGACGTCCTTCCTGTCCACACATGCACAAAACGCTTCCCTCTGCACCTTTTTCAATATCCATCAGTTTGTCTTAATTTGTTTGGCTTTTGCTCAAACCAAAATTGTTCCGTGTGTGGCTCGAGCCCAAACGCTGACACAGGAGAGGTTCAAGATGGACAGTTGAGTGTTTGAACTCATCACAGGAGTGTGATAAAATGTGTGAAGTGGAACATTAACATAATACTACAGAATACTACAGAACTACACAGTATTAGGGCTGTGGGCCTCTAGTCATTTAGTTTAGTCAATTCATAGATTAAGTCTTATTAGTCAACCAAAATCTGTATTTTGCCCCATTTTTAGTCAGTTAATCTATCTGCAGGACATGTCTTTAGTCAACTACAGCCCTGCATAGTGACACAGCCCTACACAGTGTGGTATTTACATAGTAGCTCTTGAGGCGTATGAAGTCCACCGTCATGGGGATTGAGCGGTCGCTGTTTCGGTTCAGGGCCTTGATGTAGTCGAGCAGGTCAGCAAAGAATTTGTACCCTCCTTTAAGCACACACAGGGCGACGATGTGGTGCCCGCCCATCTCCTTCATGATTTCACGTGCCAACCGCTCCGTCCTGCACACAAGTGAGGAGACAAGAAGCACAAATGTGAGAATAACAGAAAAAATACATTCTGGTCGGACCCTGTGGTAACATAATGATGACATAACTCTATAAGACAAGATAACCTTTATTTGTCCCCCAATTGGGGAATTCCAGTTTTGTAGCTATAGACTATATACATGTATAAAGAAGTGGACTAAGAGAGTGTGATGTCACCCATAGCTTTCCATCTCCAGTCACATGAAGCTTGCAATGCTAGCAGTTATAGGAGCGAATTTGGAACCAGGCTCCTTATTAGGAATAGGACTTTTTAATAGACAAAATAGCAAAAATAAAAACACCAGGATCATGTAGAGGAGGTTAATATTAACATTTTAAGACCAAAATGAGGCTCACGCTGTTGATACTTTGCTGCTGTTGTCAACATTCCCCAGGGGTGTGATGAAAACAGGACCATGAACACTCGTATTGATCACAGACTCCTGAAAACGTGTTGTGTAAATCCATTTTGTATTTTTTCTTGAAAATTTGAAACTTTTATGTCTGCTTTAGCTAATTGTTAATATTCCACCAATATAAATACATGAAGAGAGTGGCTTTGAGTATGTGTTGTGTTTTCAATTATTTTGTATTGAAAAGATCAACAGCTTGTTCATTTGGAATTGTTAATTTCTATGGAAACAATGCTAGATTTGCATCATTCTGAAACCGATGGATACGACTAAAATGCACCCACAAGCCACAACCAAAATCCCCTCACGCTCTGCTTTGTTACCCTGCCTCCTCTGGGACATTTGGGGTTGACAGAGTAGCTTCGGTTTCTGTGACTCAGCAGAAGATTCCGTTTCCTTACGTCTGAGTCAGCCCCCTTGCTCAGACAGGCTTTCAGTAAAGAGGGCGGTAAAAGGCAGGATTTGAATAACAATAACGGCTGGGTTTTCAGATCTTCAAAAATAATATAGTCAATAAATAATAATAGTCAAAATACACAGTAAAATCGATATTTGTATTATAGTCATTTCTTGTTAAGATTTCATTAGGGATTAGGCTACTGATACTGGTATTGAGTGCTGGGTTTTCCCTTATAGGAGGTTTATACATTTAGGTAATGAGGGAATTTGCTGATAAGAGCCTTGGCATACAATGGCGCGCAACTAGTTATTTTTTTGATACATTATTGTACATTTTTTTGTACATAAAGTCTAATTAATTAGTTGTCATGTTAGGCTCCCACAGCTACACTCAAACAGTGAGAGATACAGGACTACATTCATACCATACTCCATACAACCGTACAAAAACTCACCCTTATGTATCAGATATGTTCAGTCATGTCTTATGTTCTGTCAATCATCATTATCATCTTTGCACTGTTTCTCCTGACCCACATCCTGTATCTAGCTAAGATGTATTTGAATTACTATGTTCATATATTTTACTTGTGCATATACATTTGTATAATTATACCTTATTTGACACCTGTCTCTTTTTGCTTCTTATTTTGAATGTACTGTTACCATTTATATTTATGCTCTTTATTTTTATACAATATTGTGATCTATGAACTACTGTGTCCAAATAATTTCCCTTGTGGATCAATAAAGTTTGTCTAAGTAAGTCAGTCGTTAACAATTACTAAGTCTCAATTAATCTGATTAGTTGATGTGCAATCCAAGTAGTGGTATTTGAATAAGATGCATGGTCTGTTTTTGCCCCCGATCTTAGCACTAGCGCTACCATTAAGGAGGGGGTGTGTCCATGTTGGACTGTACATCGCTGCTGGAGGCTGGAGTGGGATGGTACAAATACAGTGATGACATCTCAAACAATCTGTGACCGCTGTAGTGTTTAAAAGCTCTGCCAGTGTGGGTAATGTCTGCAATCTTTGCCTCATTACCAGGCAGCAAAGAGGATGTGGGGAAAACTGACATATTGGTACCATAAAACAGCTCCGGAGCCACACCAGTACACCCCAGCAGAGGTGCCAGGAATATAGAATTTTGGATGGGCCATGACAGAACTGGCTGGGTTCCAAACATTCAGCGTGCACCACTCTCAAGCACGCTTACCCTGTAAGCCCGTGCACATGCACACATGTCAACCTTTTTAGTTTTCTCTGCGTTCCTCCTTTTGTTTTCCTCCCATTATGCAGCAGACCAGTGTCTATCTCATGCGCTCCCCATCCCACAAAAAATCTGCAGACTGCTGCTCTCCCCCTGGTTGCACCCGCTCCCATCTGTCCCGACAGTCTGCTACCGAGTCTTTCACTTGAGGAGTGTCCACCGCCGCTCACATTCTCGTCTCAAGGGTGTCCACTGCATTTGGTCCCACACAGGTGGATGTCTCGCGGATTATGGAATACGTTTATTGTCATATAAATGTTTCTGATTTAACTGCTTTACGCACAGACTTGGATTAAACCATTAACAGACGAGGAGGGTGACTAAACGACCTGCATTTGCCCCGCACACACTGACTGATGTTAGCGGCCAGAGCTGGATGCACAGGTGTCTGTACATCAGAGTGCTCATGTGCACTATATGTCTCTTGAACCGTTGAACAAAGCTCTACTGACCGCTGATGAAGAGAGCAGCACATACGAGACATGCGTCTACTCCACTCCACTGTCACAGCCGCAAGCTGTCTGCGCGTGCTGATCCCTGTCAGAATCCGGTGTTGGCTCTGCAGTTTTCTATGGTTTTGATGGTAGCCTACCTACTGGCAACTAACTTTATAAAGAAAACACACTTTAGGACAGCACTGTAAACTGCCTCACGTGAATGAGCAGCTTTTGTAAAGAACCAGATTAATATACAGTCCCTGACAAAAGTCTTGTCGCTTATCCATTTTGTAGAAACAAAAGGTTATAACCGGACTTTAAATTAATCGATTGGTTTTAGAAATGTCTCATATGAAAACTAAAACCCTCCCAAATTATGTTCAATATACTAAAATAAATTTGCTTCACTGAAGAAAGACTGATCATTTTATGAACACAGAAAGGTCAGATTTTGGCAAGACAAAAGTTTTGTCGCCTACAGAAAATTGAACAAATAATTTACTTCAAATACAAAAATATGTTGCATAATGTCAGTGAATGAAGTAGTGGTGCTGTGAGATCCATATTTAATATCTTGTATGACTTCCATGAGCTTGAAGGACTGCATCCATGCGGTTTGACAATGATTCATACAATTTGTTGATGAAGTCATCAGGAATAGCAAAGAAAGCGTCTTACATGCCTCCCAGAGTTCATCAAGATTCTTTGGATTTGCCTTCCATGCTTCCTCTTTCATTCTACCCCAGACATGCTCAATGATGTTCATGTCTGGTGACTGGGCTGGCCAGTCCTGGAGCACCTTGATCTTCTTCGCCTTGAGAAACTTTGATGTAGAGATAGAAGTATGCGATGGAGCACCATCCTGCTGCAAAATTTGACCCCTTTTATGGTTGGGAATGTAAGAGGAGCTAATACTTCTTGATATTTTAGGCTATTGATATTGCTTCCACCCTGCAAATGTCTCGCACACCCCCATACTGGATGGAGCCCCAGACCATGATTTTTCCGCCACCAAACTTAACTGTTTTCTGGGTGAATCTTGGATCCATGTAGGCTCTGGTAGGTCTCCTGCAATATTTGTGGTGGCTGTGATGTAATTCAACCGAGGATTCATCTGAGAAATCCACCTTCTGCAACTTTTCCAGTGTCCATCCTTTTAGCAGGCTGTGGGCCTTGGCAAATGCCACACGGTTTTTTTAATTGCCTTTTGTTTAGTGCTGGTTTCTGTGCACTGGTTCGACCATGGAGGCCATTTCGAGACAGAATTCTACAAACTGTTCTGGTTGACACAGGGACTTGAGGTGACCAGGCCGGTCCTCCAGAGCAGTTGTCTTGCGGGGTCTGCCGGACCTGGGTTTGTCAAAAACATCTCCAGTCATTTCAGATCTTTTTCTTATTCTTTGAACTTGATGCTGAGACACATTGAAGGTGTCAGCCACCTCAGCAGTGGATCTGGTCTTCAGCCTCTTGATAATTAACGCTTTGGTCTCAGGGTGGATCTTAGGCATGTTGTCAGAGGTCAAGTTGCAGTTGATATGAAGGTCTGGTGTGCTGGGGTTCTTTTTATACACACCCACTAATTGACTGATCAGTAACTGATCACAGGTGAGGCTGTAATCTAGGATTGGGTGCATCATATGACAAGGCGACAAGACTTTTGTCTTGCCAAAATCTGACCTTTCTGTGTTCATTAAATGATCAATCTTTCTTCAGTGAAGCAAATTTATTTTAGTATATTGAGCATAATTTGGGAGGGTTTTAGCTTTCATATGAGACATTTCTAAAACCAATCGATTAATTTAAAGTCAGGTTATAAGCTTTTGCTTCTACAAAATGGATAAGCGACAAGACTTTTGTCAGGGACAGTAGACTATAGAGGAAAGCTAAACTGATACAGGAAGCAGGCGAGAGGCTGTGCTTTGCTGCAGGAGGGCATCCACATGGCACACGAACATGTTATGAATGTTAAGCATTCATCATCCTAATACATTTCCAAATAAAAGAAGTCTTGAGCATGTTACATGTGTTTTTCAGTGGATCAGTTTGATATTTATTTTTATGAGTCTGGCAATTCACTGAACGCGTCCCACCACGGCCCTAGTCTGCTCCACTCAACCTGATATTCAGGCACAGCACACCTCTTGGTTAGAGCTCCACGCCCCACACTTGCGCTAGTGCTAAGATCGGGGGCAAGATTGGGCCCAAAGTCAGTGTGGATACTGTTTCCAGACGGCTTCACCTGTCGAGTATGAGTCCATGTGGGATGTAGACTCTCTCCAGGTCCCCGGCGTAGTGCTTTGGTATGCAGAAGAGGTCGAGGTCATACCCCTGCTCCTCATCGCTGATCTGGAAATAAACCGGACACACACAGGTTTATCAATATGAACACATTTATGTCATAACAGAGGAGGCAGATAACACAAGTTATGTTATTACTAGGGATGTAACAATAACCAAAATATCATGATATCGTATTGCCAAAAATCACACAGTAATATCGTGGGCTGTCACAATATATCAAATTACAAGTTCCTTTGCTTAAATACTAAGGGTGTGCAAAAATATTGAAATATCGATATATAGTATTGTTTAATGTGATACAGTATTGATATCGTGGGCTGCTGTACCGATATATCGCCAAGAGTATTTTTTGGTACATTTTACTAAATTATTATGTTACAATGCTACAGCTTTATTGCTTGTTTAGAGGAAGGAAACTTATTTATGCAACACATTTTCACTGTTTTGATGTTTAAAATGGGCGTGTTTCATATTAACTTTGCACAAGAAATGGTTTAACAAAGACTTTCAGTATCACAGCCATGATTTAGCCTTTAGCCTATTTTTTATTGCACCGTATCGTGTATCATATATTGAAATACATCGTATTGAATCATATCAAATCAAATCATAAGCTCACTCTATCGAAATATGTATTGTATCGTGGCTTATGTATGGTATGTCAGCAACTTCTGAATGATACCCAGCCCTATTAAATACATTGTTTAATAGTAGCAACAGCTAAATAGAGAACTACATATACCACCGTTCATGTCTTTTGCTTGAATTCTTGGGATTATGACCATAATAATAATAATAATAATTCACACCAAAATCTTGTCAGTGTATATTAAAGGCAATAAGTAACCTATCTACAATTGTATTAGCCTCTCTTATTGCAATAAATATTATATTGAGAGATGCATATCGAGATAATATCATACCGAGAGATTTGGATAGCGTTACTTCCCTAGTTATCACTACTGTCATGATGGATGTGTCTGGATGTGGGTTACGTAACAGGTACCACACAGCACTGTTGCAATGGGAGAGACAGAAGAGCTGCCACTGGGGTGGACAAAAAATCTCCAGACCAAGATACTAATCAAGACTAAAACTAGTATCTAAATAGTACTCATTTGATCATGAATCAATATTGGGGACATCAATCAGAATTAGAATACCACATTGGTAATATTTTTGTTTTAAAGTAGGTAATTACTTAAGAGTTTATTTATTCTCATTGTATCCCAAAGTCTGAAGCTAGAGAGGTATTCAGTATTTGTGTATCTAGTGTTTAAAAAAAGCAGAGGTGACTAAACGAAGATTAGTATTATTCTATATTAGTATATATTATAGTATAAGTATTCAGTCTGTGTAATCGCTCAGTCGTCCAAGTAGGATCCATAGCAAAATACATTTTGGAAAATGTATCTTTTGCAATGCTCCTCTTTTGCAATTCTATCTATTTATATCTGTCTTTATAATTGTGTTAATTAATAAATAAACAAACCTGACCAAAACATATACTTCCAAGGTAGTGATAAAGTTACTCTCACAGCACAGTTAACAGTGAGTAACTGGAACGGAAAAACTAGAAAATACAGAGAGGAAGCAATTAAATAATGCTGCATCTGAAACTACAGTTATTATATTTGTAATGTAATGTAATGTAATGACAAAGTTAATGATTAAAAATGCCATCAACGAGTACATGGGAAAGTGCACTAAAAACCATTGAAGCATCAAGTTTTAATGTAGTGAAAGTGACTTGAGCCTGAACTCAGACAGTAACAAGAATCATGTGACAGAGAGTAGCCTCAGCTAAAAGATAAGAAAAACTACTATGTGTAGAGCCAAGTATGTGTGTCAAAGGGTTAGTTTAGTTCAGAATATTGTATAATGTCTTTACAAAGGCTGTGCAATACACCACCAGTCAAAAGTTTGGACACACCCTGTCAATCAATGTTTTATTTCTTTATTTTTACTACTTTCTGCTAGGGGTGTGCAAAAATATCTAAATTGTATATACCAGTATATATATTGCGATATTCAATTTGGTGATACAGTATCGTTATTGTGGGCTGCTGTATTGATATACAAGTTTTTTTTTTGGTATATTTTATTAAATTATTTTGTGACAGTGCTACAATTTTTATGTTTTTTTCAGAGAAAACAAATGTGTTCATGCGACATTTGACATTTTCACAGTTTTAATGGTTGCAATTCGTTTATTATATATTGACTTAGCACAAGTAGTGGTTTAACAAAGAAATACTGTTGTTAAAATGTATTTTGTTCTTAAAAATCGTGATATATTGCAGAATATTATATGAAATATATAGATTATCCCGTGTATCACCATATTGTGATAATATAATTTTGTGAGCCATATATCGCATTGAATCGTGAGGGCCCCTGTGAAAAATTCACAAAAAGGGAGATTTTATTCACAATTTTCCTTACTTGAGTCAGTTTTGGTTTAGTCTGTCAAGTTTTTTGTTTGACATGTAAATGAAATTACTTTCTTTTTTTTTTTTTTAAACTGAACTTATTTTAATATAACCTACAGCTTGGCAGAATAACGCAATATTAAACACAGTTATCAAACATGGAATCTTTTACTTCTATCGATTGAGATTATGAGTTAGTAATGTTCTTTCTAAGGCTAAACAGTTTGTGAAAAACATATAATTGTGATTAGATTTGTAATTTATACTTTAATAATAGGATACATTTTAAACAAGCCTAGGAGAATTGTCAAAAACTGAAATATTAACTGACAAAGTAAGACAAGAATCACATTTCAAAACATGTTTGTATAGATCTTAACTACAGGATTAGAGCAGAATAAGACATACTCTTTAGTGTGGAGGAAATTGGTACTTCAAAACTTGAAGCCTTTGCAATTTGCCAACTGCATTCATTCAAATTGAGATTTACATTTAACTGTGATTAATCTTGCAGCCCTAGTTTACAGCCAAGGATGTAGGTCAAACGGTAAGTTTAGTAGAGATATATATTGTATAACGCTCTTACATACATTTTATTGTTTAAAAGTGAATTGTGTAACTTTTATGGTGGAGGGTCCATCAAATGCTTTTTCCATGAAGATGACCCCACTCACAGTCAGAATTAGGGGTGTGCACAAATATTGAAATATCGATATATAATATCATTTAATTTGATGATACAGTATCGTTATCGTGGGCTGCTGTATCAATATATCGCCAAGAGGTTGGTTTTTTGTGTGTATATTTTACTAAGTTATTTTGTTAAAGCGCTACAGTTCTGTTGCTTGTTTAGAGAAAGGAAACTGCTTTAAGCAACACATTTGACATTTTCACTGTTTTGATGATTAAACTTGGTGTTTTTCATATGAACTTTGCAAAAGTGGTTTAACAAAGACTTTTAGTATCACAGCTATGATTTAGCGTTTATTTTTTATTGAACAGTATGGAATCCTTTTGAAATATAGAGTATCGAATCGAAAGTGCACTGTATCGAAGTATGTATAATATTGTGGCCTATGTATCGAGGTCTGTATCGTATCGGCAACTTCTTAATAATACCCAGCCCTCTGAGCTATAAAACCATCTGTAATTTAATAAGTATAAGGTAGAGGTGTTTAAAATTGTAGGACATTCCACACAGAATTACAGCTTATCCATAGAAACAAGCAGGTGACCACTAAACAAAAAGTTACATAGTGCACCTTTAACTTAAAGGCCTGTGGATATGAGTTTTTATACATATGACACAGATGAAGCTAATGCAATACAGCTTGAGGACATCTGATAGAAATAAAAGATAAGAAATCCTGCTCAGTTCAGGAAGCCATATGTAAGGGTTAGAGGATTGTAAACTTTCTACGGAAATCTTTTATGTTTAATTGATAAGAACATAAAAGCAGTATTGCAAATCTTTCAAAAGCCACTGGGGTAGGGTTAGTCATTACACTGTGAAAAGCTTGTGAGTATGAGATAAATTATTTGACCCAGATAAAGATAAAGTGAGGGAATCTTCATATAAAAAAAGAAAAGAAAATGTAGGTTAGAACCATAAATATATGTCAAAGGCTTCGGGTAGGTACACATGCCATATGACTTTATTGCACACGTGTTTTAATAAATAATTTTAATCAGAGATCTGCACACACAAGTAATCAAGTAGTATCTGTTTTACTACTATAAACCTATGGGTGTAAATAAAGTTTTGAATGACATAACCATTTACTGTAAGGCCACAGAACAGGCTTTATCACAGTCCAATGAGGTTACTGCTTTTTTTAGCCAGTGGTTCCTCTTATCCAATTCAAAAGAAGAACTATAGTAAAAATACATCTTTTAAAATCAAATATCTGTTTTCTAATTACTTACAGATTAAATAAAATCTACTAATAAGGATATAAAATCCATCTGTCCTGCCATATGTTTGGTCATTAACACAATACAAACTCTTAACTGCCAAATGAGTCAACACTCAATTTAGTCAAAATAACGAACAACAAGCAGCAGATACCTTCTCTTCTCTTTAAAGTCCTGTTTGAAAAGTTAAACAAGGACAAAATGTGCCAATTGCTCTGGGGTCACTGTAAAACTGACCTTGAGGTTTTGGAGATAACAGAAGTTCATGTTTGACAATGTTTTATGACAGGCAGAAACCCACAGCTTGCTAACTTTCCGGGTAACTTCTGGCACCTTCGATTAGTAAGGGGGTTTAATGCTTTAAAACGTCTGAACATTTGAGAGAAGACAAAATTATGAACTGTTTAACTAAAAGTCTTCACTACAAGAAACTGTGATATTACAATACAGTTAGAGGGAGATATACTGAAAAAAAATTCAATATTGCAAATGTTCTATAGATATGCAAAATCAAAATATTGAAAATATTGTCCCATAGTATAGTTTAATTTCATGGTCCAATCATGCTTTGTGCGATATTTCAAACTTGAGATAAAGCTTTATATTAACAAGAGATTATATTAAAAGATAACAGCACCTAGTGTGACTACAAAGCTTTCTTACTGGTTTGAGAGGTTTTAGTACATTTATATTACAAAATAAAGACAAATAATCAAAACTGGCTCCACATATCAGCCCAAAAATATCAGCAGAGCTATTTTACCATAGGTTGCCCTGAATTCTAAATCGGTATCAGCCATGAAAAAACAAACATCCCATGTTTACATCAAATCCCTCAACTAAGACATTTTAGCATATTCCTATTGAATACTCAAGTTGCAAAACAAGGAGACGAAAGAAATAATTCTTGTCAATATTGCCCATCACTGTTATACAACTGTACAAACTTGTTCTTGTTCTGTGTAACTTATGAGTCTCTCAGTAGTGAAGTACATAAGAGCTTATTTCACACCAAACCAATTGAAACTTAACCCACATCCCGTCTCTATAGTATTTGGTCGAGACTTTTTGGTATAAAACAACAAGATCAATAATACAAAGTTGTATCTCTGTAATAAAATTATTGTTCATGTTTTCATTTTTGAAGAGTGAAGAAAGAATTAAATAGCAGTAGAAAACCTTGTATGGAATAATATTGAGTGCCCTAACTGTCTCCAAGGTGAAGCTCAATAAACAAGCTCACTGCCGTCTCTAGGGAAGGTGTTAAGACTATTTTGACATTTCAGTAAAGCTCCCAACAACGAATATTTCTTCGGTTGTTCAATGTGTATTTGGAGTTAAATGACCATTATTAAACTTTTTGGGATGGTGCTGAGGGTCCTTCACCTGCTTGTCTTTGCAGTGATTTTCATTACTTTGTCTTGAATGTTTCCCAGTCTGCCATTGAACTTACCTACCTCCATGGTGACATACTAGCCTACAGGTGAGCTCTGTGGAAACTGTTTTTCAAGGTAATTTTGAGAACAACTGTAAATGAATAAATGCAAAATGTACAGTATGTTTAAAGCCATACTGTGAGACATTATAGGCAAGGCAGTATCATCTCCATTAGGGCGGGGTATCATTCAGAAGTTGCCAATTCTATACTGATTGATACACAGGCCACAATGCCATACATATCTTGATACAGAGAGCTTACGATTTGATATGATGCAATACTATATATTTCAATACGATGCAACACAGTTCAATAAAAAAATAAAAGCTAAATTATGGCTGTGATACTAAAAGTCTTTGTTAAACCACTTCTTGTGCAAAGTTAAGCACACCCATTTTAATTATCAAAATGTGAAAATGTCAAACGTGTTCCTCTGAACAAACAACAAAACTGTAGCGCTGTAACAAAATAATTTAGTAAAATATACCAAAAAATGCTCAAGGCGATATATTGATACAGCAGCTGATACTGTAACTGTATCATCACATTAAACGATATTATATATTGATATTTTAATATTTTTGCACATCCCTAATCTCCATAGACATAAGTAAGAGGTGGTTCTCTGCAACCCTACAAGGTAATTCCTCTTTTGTAGTTTTAAAGCTTTATTCAAAATGTAAACAAATCAAAAATGACTACATCATACCAGTTTAATAGTACATCATGGATATTTCATTACGTGCATGCTCTACTTACATAATACCTTGCGTCAGGAGTTGTATTGCTATCTATTTTCCCGTAATAAGCTAATTAAGAGTGGTCCTTCAACATGCCCTTAAACAACAATACTGAAACATGTCTAGCTTTATTCCAAAGTAAAACACACTGACTGTTAACAGTGGTTATTATTAAGATATTACAGTTTAAATCACGTGCTCTGGTTTCCTTCGTTCATTCTCACGGTACGCAAAAACGTGGGCAACTCGTGTTTAGTCTATTCAACAACAGGCCACGCTACAGAGAGCATTGTCACTCAACAAAACGTGCCCACAAGTTTAGGTATTTCAATTGTATTTCAGTTATGTAATGAGCTATACCAGCGATCGAAAGTACAGAAATTTAGCAAAAAGGACAGCTGTCAGCAATGCGCATAGACCAAATAATTCCACAACCCCCAAGTATTTCTGGAAATCCAAAATATACTTACAACAACACAGGAGCTGGAGGTCGCCATGTCGTTTACGTGACCTCAGCCGTGAAATTTATACGGAAAAGGTTAAAAGACGTGGGTGTGAAACAATATACGTGGATCGTTTACTCTTGTGTTTGCTGTAGACACATGGAAATTGCTAGCTGTGGTCGGAGAGACGCTTTTCCCGGGGCTGCAGCGGTGGGCGAGCTCCGGTGGGTTCTACTGAGCTCCAAGCCGCCGAGACGTGCGTGCTGTTAGGGGGGATGACGTACAGCTCCCCGTGGGCCAATCACAGAAGGGGTAAAGGAAAAAAACCCGCCCAGGTTTGGGCAAGTGAAGCCACACAGGGTAATGATGAAAAACATAGGTTTCAAATTATCACAATAGTCTATAAGCCAAAAATATATAATATACATTTTTGTTATAATACACAAAATCCGAAGTTTCTAGTCACTAATAGAAATATGCAGGTTCAACATTATTCATTCACAGCTACACCAAGTTACTTAAATCTGTACTGTAACCACAGCTGCCTTGGGTTGGGCTAATCTGGGCCATCGGCTCCTCTGACCGATCACACAACACATACATAGGCTATAAAGCAAGGGAAGTACCTTGCTTAAGGACACAACAACAGTGTGCAAAATGCCAATGACACATACGATATCAATGACACATATGATATCAGCTAATTCACAGAATACACAGAATTACGATTCAAGCGATATTTGTGAGTTCGCAAACTCACTAAAGTCCATCTTGGCAGGCGCCGGCTGCAAGGTCAATCGGTTGGGCGGAGCAGTCACAGAGCAGCACTGAGGTTCGTGCAGAAGCCAAACAAACATGGCAACGCAGACAGACATACTTCAGCCTATTTTACAGACAATATGGACTATTTCATTTGTTAAAAACATGCAGAATGTAAGGGCTTTGCACATTTGTGCACAGAGGTGTCTGTGCTTTTCTCTCATATCAATTTGGCATGAGCCAGGTTAACGTACCCAATCCAGTGTTTTATAACTGGAATAATTATCCAAAGCTATCTTAAACCTACCATTCATAAGTTTATTTGATGTTTTTCACCCATAGATGACAGATGTAAAACCTGTTCTCCCCTCAGCTGTCCTGTGTTCACGCTCACCTGTGCTCTCTGGTCTTCTTGTCACCAGCACACTATCAAACTGCAGTACCATAGATGGCTTCTAAAGGTGATATGTGAGAATGCAACAAGGTTGGGTCTGCCAGTTTATTTACATGTGGCAGCTTTACATAAATATACTTTCTTTCTAAAACCACACTTCTGCAAATGGTAAGTTTTAGAAATGTACCTTTTACTGAAATGTTGTCCGAGGAGTAAAATGTGTGAAATGTCAAAACATGTCAAGAAATCCCAACAGGTGGACAGAAATTTCTATTGTCTGTGTGAAATTCCTCACTTTTCAAAGCCAAAAAAACAGTTTCTTTCTGTCTAACAAAATTTGCCTAGAAACATTCTCAAAAAAGACACCTGAAGCATTGAGTAAATGTGTAAAATAAAATCTTTCTATTTCCAATCAAGGATACAATCTTTAGATACAAGTACATCAGGTAAACTCCACGTGAAAGAGCTATACACTGCCCTTTAGTGGCCAAATAAAAAAACAACAATCTTTGCAGTGAAAAACCCAAGTGCATGCAATTCAAAAATGACTCATTTATGAAAAGTTTTACATAGAAAGGAGAGAGGCTAACATGAGGCTTAAGACATGATTACACATACAAAAACAGCACATTTATAGACACACTAAGTAACAAACCGCGAAATATAGCGTCCTTTAGGAAACAAGAAGAGGAAGGTTATTATTTTGAATCTATTAGGACAAAGGGCAGCCATTTTATAGTCCATTTAAGTCCCAATATCCGTGGCATTATTGATGTTGGTAAATAGAGAGTCATTTTTGCCTTGCGTTTACTTCAACCCGTCAGCTGTCAAATGCTGTGGAATTTGTGAAGAGTTCAGGTGCATTCTGGGGAATATGAGCCATTTCAAAGACAGGTGGAAAGTTGTAGTTCATGATTTTGAACATATTTAATGTATAAAAATATTTCCTATCTTCTATCCCTCACTGGTCTGGTCCCCTGCAGAAAAAAAACAGTATTTCATTGAAGTAGGATCTACCATTTCAGTATGACATTTGAAGTCTCAAAGATTTACCCATTATTATCACATGTTAAAAATAATTATTTAAAATCCCAGGTGGTAGGTTAAACCAGATAATTTATAATCGTGATAAGATCCAGTTTCCCACTATATTTAAAGCGAAAGGTTTATGTTACATGTTAACAATTTAAAAACATACGCATATTAAAGTGTAATAGGCTAACCAAAATGACTACCTCCAAAGGAATGACCAGTCATACCTGTACCACTGTCATTGAGTCAGTGGTCTGCAATCATCTTGGGGCTGTAACAATATTTTTGTTTGTAATTAAGTAAACAGTACAGATTAAAGATAGACCAATATATCGGTTGGCAGATATATTGGGCCGATATTTGCACTTTTTAGTGTATCAGCTATCGGCCATAAATCTACAGTAGAGGCCGATATTTTGGTTTGCCCAACCAGCAGCCGAAATACACATGAAATATATGCATAAATCTTTGTTTGAACAATGAAGTCCAAAGAGGGTACTGGAAAAATGTGACTACACTGGTCTCTACTCATTTTGTAGTAAAGGAAAATTGTGGATGAGTCTGTAGTAAATTTTAACTTGATAATTTGGGAAAAAAATTCCTAAATCGGCTCTACATATCGACCCAAAACATATCGGCGGAGGTCATTGGCCATCAGTTGCTCTAGTACAGATATATCATAACAATTTTAAAAGGACATATTTCTTTTCAGGTACTGCCCCTTTAACAGTTACCTAGTTATTGCCATTGACTTGTGTGGCTGTGGCCTGTTCGTTGGCTGCTCTCTCTCTTCGATTCTCTCTCTCTTCATCCTCTTCATCTCTCTCCTCGTTTCCACTGTGGTTTTTACAATAAAGTCTGATAAAAACAACAGACATTTTTATAAACCTTATATTCAGTTGTAAAAAGGTAAGGTGTTACATTGATTTAAATAAAGATCTTACTTGTAAATTCCACGCGCCATGTTTTCAATGAATTTTGCTTTGTCCTGGAGACCGCAGTGATAATGGTAGGTTTTCACACACGCTTTGATTTCACAGCCTATTGTCGCCCCCAACTGACTGCACAGGGTGCATTTCTGGAAAAACAAAAAATATTTCCAACATTTAAAAACAAAGTGATACTGTTTAGATGTTGAGAAATATTTTTTTATTTACCATTCGCTTTCCTCTTTTGATTTCTTGAATGACTGTTTTTACGTCAAAGTTTCCAAACTCGGCCCGTGATGTTGTGGTTAACTGCACTGTTCCAGATGAAAAAAGCTGATAGAATAAAATGGACATGTCAATTCATTAGTACTGTTTTATGTAGTAGATTATGTATCCAGCATTAAGACCACCTAAGCACCCAATAATAGGCCAGAGACAAGGTGCACTAAACCAGGTCTAATCTGAGCCAGGATTAAACCAGGATTTAAGCACCTGTCGTTCACACTGACCACAGCAGGGATGCTCAGATCTTGTCCTACAGCCATAATTTTTTGTCAAACAAACCTTAATTCTTATTTTTTTTGCTTCTGACAAACTCTAAGATAAACTTATTTATTATGTCCGTCTGCTGCATTATCATATTCATAGCCATTTATTTTACATAATAATATCTTGTAATTTTGCTCTACTTGTACAGTGTTAGTTAGATTCAAGTCTGTTTTAATAGTTTATTTATCTTGATCTTTCATGAAATATACTCTCCTTCTGTTCTTGATCTGTACGTTGCAACACTGAAATTTCCCATTGTGGGACAAATAAAGGTTCTCCTGTCTTATCTAAAATGGTATAATATACCATGATGCTATGATGTAGAACAGTATAAACAATGGCTATAAAGAATACCAAGTTCATCTAATCTTCTTTGTCCAGTGTCAGTAGTATATCGTACCATGCACTTGTAGTGAGCGGCCACTTTCTTGGAGTTGTCTGTGTGCAGGACGCCTCTGGTTTCATTTTCTTCATCTCCGGCATGACAGAACCCACAGCGCTGAAGTCCATCTGCTGGACTGGCTCTCAGGGGCGACCGGTCTCTCTTAAAATACAATACACAAAAGATTCAACATTTTCCTGATTATTACAGCATAATAAAGCTAAATGACATTATAGCTACAACTGGTCCTTTGTTAGAAACCCATGATCTGCATCAGTCATAATTGTACCTAAGCTAAAATTAGCCAACTATAACCATAATATAAAGTCTAAAACTTGTTTTAGTTTATTGTGTTAAAAGACCCATTTCACTGAAACATATTGTTATAAATAAAATAACTGATTAAATACAGTGTAAAAAATCTTAAAATCATCTTTTGACCCCAGCTCAGTGCCTCATAGCTCCCACTTTTGAATGTCTACTGTAAACAAGTAAATAAAGGTTTTTTTCATTGACCTAAGGCAAATCTGGCTTCATTTGTAACTTTATTGACAATTAGTAATGGGTCATGAGGCTGGACAGGGACATTCAGTGCTGTAAGCACGTCACACATTACACTGCTGAGAAATCCTCCATATTGTAAATTATTATATATGTGAAATATATTAGTTATATTATTCCGAGACCTTCCAGAGGAAACACTCTGAGGGAAACCAACTGAAACACCTCCTCCTCAAACTGCCCTGACACAGATCTGCTGACCCTACCTGATCAGTCCTTACATTAAACTGCACTGAGACCTTTGACTTAGACACAAAGGCGACAGAGAAGAGCAGTGGAAATTTGTATCAGTAAAACTTGAATTTCCCTCAGATCAATAAAGTATCTCTCTCTCATACTGTGTTTATAAGATCAAATGGTGCAGTTTTGAGTCTCACATGTGAAGAGCTCTCCTCCTCCGCTGCCTGTGAGGATGTGGAGCGGGTCTCCTCAGACTGGCCCCTGGACCCGGTCTTAGTCTTAGACTTCTCAAACCGACCACGGCCTCTGCTCAGAGGTGGTGAGGTGTCTGAATCATTGGCCACACCCTCTGCTTCATCTACAAACACAAAACAAAACATATTATATTAATTAAAGGGCTTATATTCTGCTATTTTCTGATCTCTGTTTTAATATTGTTTCTTCATCACAAACATACCTGGAGCTGTG